GGTGAGCCAAATGAGTAGCTGGTGAGCCAACGAGGCGCCATGGCTGGTGGGACAGCCAAAGCAAGTGCTCAGATGGTGGAGCAAGCAATATGTGACCGGGGTCCCCGTGAGGGCCAGCTATGGTCACGCAATTAGGGTGAATTGCAAAGAATGGGGCAGACAACCCCCAAAAAGCTGGTGGATATTCCAATACTTAGATTTACCATAACAGCATAAAACAGCTTTTTTCTTACCTTACTAGTTACTCAGAAGTCCAAACAACACAGTTCCCTTAAAGTGATCCAGCCTCAGGCCTCCATCCAGGTACCCACGTCAAATATGATGAAAATTTCTGAAAATCTTATTTCATCATATAAAAGAAAAGGTTCTACCAATCCCAAAGGATCGGACACATTATCTCCCAGGTTAATTAATATAATATTCCAGATCTTACCCAAATACATGCTACAGCCAGTTCTTACTAACTAAATTAAAATTTATTAAAAAACAAGAGAGAGAGTATGGTTAAAAGATCAATGTACATACAGACAGGAGTTCAATTCATTTTGATTCAGATTCATAGCAGAGACGGTGAGCTTTGTAGTTGCAAAGAATTCCTTTAGAGTTCAGTTCATACGTTATAGTCCAATGTCCAAATATCATATTCAGGGTGTACCAGCATAACTGGGACCTCAGTCTTGTGACTCAAACTTCTCCTGATGAACCTTACGCAGATCTGAGATGAACAGGATCAGGACCCAAGGGTCTTTTTAGCATCCACTTGACCACACAGTCCTGGTTAAACAATAGGCTTTTGATGTAACCTTCACTTTTTAACCACCACCAGTAATTAGTTACACAAATTAACATAGGGCAATTTATCTATTAGGAGTCTATTACAAACTTCAAAGAGACCGTTGTGGAAAAAGTCACCCACGCATTGATTTTAGTTCACAGACTCAAGCCTGAGGCCAATTTATTGCAATACATACCAACGTGTTGCGGTAGCAGTCCGAAAACTACCACACCCAATCACAACTCACAGGCTGCCTTTATTCTTACAAACCGCAAACATAGTATGTTATTTACAAAAATAAAAGAGTTGGGGTCTGTTCCCTTTCTCGGTACCTTCCTCATTATTTTTCCGAGAATTGGGTGCATATTGGGTGGGGGGCTTCTCGAGAAGCCTGATGCGGTTAAAATTTGGCACCAGCTAGGGTATGTTCTCGGAAGAGTACATGGTACCTTCCGGGGCGTTATGGTCAGTGTATCAGGGAGGGGTTGACAGGACACCCAAAGAAGGAGCGTGATTAGTCAGTTTGCATTTAGCTAGAAATTCGGGGAGGTCGCAGAGCACCCAGAAGAGAACCATGATTAGCTACCTTGCATTTAGCTGGAATCACGGGCGCGGGGGGGGGGAGAGGGGGGGTGTCACAGATCACCCAAAGGAGACGCTGCATTTAGTCAGTTTACATTCAGCTAAAGTTACCTATTGCTTCACACAAGTGGTTATTATATTTTATCAGCCATGAACATATTTCATAAGTGCTGCTGGGGCTTTTTATTCTTTCCCTCCTTGCCCCGCCCCCCTCTGGTCATGACCCTTGACTGACTTTGGCAGGAGGCTGTGTCACTTAGCCTAGTTCCGGCTTGTGGCCTGCAGGGCGGGCCTATATGACGAGTCTTTGCCGATGTTCTGATCAGTGCAAGGGAGGCCAGTCAGGCCTATTCCCCCACAAGACATATAGACAATGACATTATTTTACCCAAGATTCATCCAAATGTTAATATTCCCTTTTGATCTCTGAATCAATAGTTACAGTGACAGACAGGAACTGTCTTTTTAGGGATAGCATCTAAGATACACACAATTAGTTGATTGTGTCTAGTTTGCATATCAATTCCAGCTCAGCAGTCTCTCGTT